ATTAAGTTCAAATCTGGCATATTGTACACATGCATTTGACATTTCGGACACAAAAAGTGAAGTTGCCAAAGTGTTGAATGGTTACATTTTATGGTCTAACAAAAAACTTGAAAAGTTGTCAAAGTTGGAAATTTTGGAGTGGTTCATACATGGGGTCTGATTCATAAAATTCAGACGGCTAGAGCAAGCACGGTTAGCAGTCAGATTTACAGGTTGTAAGGATTTAGGATGACGGACCGCTGAGAAGCTGGTGAAAAAAAATCATAGGTAAAATTTCATAACCAGTTCTACCCTCAAAACAACCAATCCTCAATTCTAGAATGAACTTCTTTGGCTCGTTAACATACAACCTGCTCACTATGACATGTTGACTGTACTGAACAGCAGAACTCTACCAAACAAATCTAAAGTGAGATTTCAGAATTCTCTGCTTACCAAAGTTATACCGAAACTCCACACATCTGATCTGATGTCATAACTTCCTTGCCTTGAGGACATGGGATCTATTCTTTCAGGCTAGAAAGGCATAGAAAAAATTTCATTTTCCATGTAAATAAAGTGCAAAAATATTATTTGCACTGGATCCTATAAACATTTCTGACAAATCACAAGTTTATCCCTTTCGATCAAGGCACATTTCTTAAATTCTGATCAGACCTGTGTTAATGTGTGTTTTCTGGACTGGCATCTGACTGCAGCCCCACAACACAAAGTAACAATAGGGGTGTTGCTACGTGTACTCCCCTGGGTGGGAGGCTACCATTTACCATTACTGTCTGAAAATTTATGACTATAATCAACTCTCTCATGGTGTGCACCAGTGCTGTAAATTGAACACCTCCCTAAAGTGGACAGGGCTGTCTTACGTGTCCTAACTGAATTTCATTTGTTTCTCTGTAACTAAACTCTTGGATGAGACACACCTCTCCAAAGCAGGCAGCAGTCACCACTCCCAAGGGTGTCTTGCCTTCGGGAGAGTTTACTGTACCCACAAGTAAATTATGTATTTATTTTTGAGAGTGAAAGTGTCTTTCTGAAGAATGTGACAAGAAGAGCCTTTATTATATGGCTACCTCTGTGAGCGGGCAAGATGAACCAAATCCTGTAATTGGTTACCCGAGAGGGCAAGATGGAGCTATCTTGCCCCCTTGGGACTACCTGCTGTGTCCCAGAAGAAAAATTTCCTCAAAAGCCATTTAATAAATCTTTTATTGACCAAGCTTGTTCAGTCAAGATGGCTTGATATTGGTCTCGTTCCTTTTTTGCGTGTTTATGGACCTCCACTCCGTCTCAGTCCATAAACACACAAAAAAAGAACTTGGCCAATATCCAACCATCTTAACCTCACACTTTGTCAATAGCCCATATAGATGGCCTGTGCTTCAACTCAGACCATTTAACTTCTCAACGAGTTCAATGCACCTTAACCATAAACTATTATAATAGGTCTCTGATCAACCTATATATATCCTCGTACATGTACTACATGTACCTCTTGTACGAGAAGTTGTAATATTTCATTATGAGCAATGTAGTTAAGTGGAGAACATACCGCCATGTA